GAAGGATATCATGTTTGATAAAGTGGAGAGTCAACAAAAGAGGGGAAGGCCCTCAACAAAATGAACTCACACAGTGGCTGCAGTGATGGGCTCAGGTATAGTAGGGATTGTGAGGCTGGGCAATGTTTCGTTCTGTTGTACATAAGGTCGCATGAGTAGGAGACGACTTGATGGCACCTAACAAAAACAACGTCCCTCAGTCTTCAGGACCTACTGACAAATTGTCTTCACTTAGCAGCAGTGGAGCTCTTGCTTGTAGCTTCCAGTTCCTGTTCCTTCCCTTAAATATACACTCCCTGACTTTTTGACTCAAAATCACCCACTATTCCCAGCACTGCCTGACTCCTTCTCAAAAGAGCCTACCCACACCATCTGCATCCCAGGGCCTAGGTGAGGTCCATCAATACAAAGATGACTTACCTTGGGGGTTTAGGGGGCAGATGAGCTCCATGTACCCATCAGCCTCAGGGAGTAGATAAGCCCCTGGATTTCAGAAAAGATTGACAAAATGAGGCTGATGGATCCTGCCCCGTAAAGGCAGGGTTGCTAGGAGAGCAAAGCAGTGTCCTGATGATGGTGCAGAGGCCAGAAGACAGGAGCTCATTCTTGTGCTTGTGTAAGTTACATACCCCCACTGTTGCCAAGAAGCATTTATTGTGGTTAGGAGGTGTTCTGATCTCTGTATATGGACAATGATAAAGAGCAACAAAAAGTGACAGGCTCACTGATTTACATCTAAGAGAGCACATTTGGTTGTTTGGGCCTGCTTCAGTGTTTTAGTCCTCAAGACCTGCTATAATAGAAATACCACAAGTGGATGGCTTTAACAAACAGGAATTTATTCTCTTACAGTTTAGGAGGCTAGAAGTCCAAATTCAGGGTACTGGCTCTAGAGGCGGGGTGAAGGCCCCCTGAGCTTGGGTTTCAGCTCTGCCTTCTGTTCCTGGCCCCCTGGAGCTGGAGGCATCTCCTAACTCATGCAGCTGCTGGCTGCTGAGGGTGACAAACCCAAGATCGACAGGTAATATGGCACAATCCCAAAATCAGTAGACAACACAGCTGGCCATTGGTTCTAGTCCACGAATAATGCCAAGATCAGCAGGCAACATGGTAGGCCACTGGTTCAAGTCCAGGAACTGGAGATGAAGATGGGCCAAATGCAGGATCCA